TGGGGAAGTCCCGAATTTATAATTAACTCTCTTCGATAGAACAATCTAATTACTTATACACATCCGATTTGGCGACCACTGCGGGAAGGCAGCTCTCACCAATCATGTCACTTTTATTTCTATTAAATGTTATGTTTGATTGCTAAATTATCGTCGTTATTTCATCTTATGCTCCACAAACTCCTACATATATATTAAATGTTAATAAACACAATGCAAAAGCATTATCAAAAACTTCACATGATCAGGATGAAATAGCTAATTTCTGACAAAGCTAATTCAATAAGTAATTGACCATAACTAATTTCTTATTATATTAGCCACTATAAATGTAAAATTGAGCACATAATGCAACATTGAGTCGCACGCTCAATTTTTTAAATTAAAAATTACTTTTTGATTACGCTAAAAGGAATAATTTTAATTTATAATTAGTTAAAACTATAATTAAAAAAAGAACTATCGGGTGGATTTTTTAGATATAAATATAAGTTATTTATGAAAGTAAATTCAACAAAACATAAACAAGATTAATATTATTGATCATACTGAATTTATAAAGATATGTACAGAATTAAGCAAACTAAGAAAACTTAATAATTTCATATTCCCAATGTAAATTTGTGAATTGGGTGGGGCCCGGATAGCCAGATTGGCAGGGCGCTGGACTCACGTCTGTAAGAACGGGAGTTCGAATCCAGCCGACGACATCAAATTAGTAAATTAACGTGATTTAATAACCCCTTCTAAGTTTATTAGTTCAGCATTTCTCTAAAAAAACGATTAAAAATTTTTCAATAGTTTTGGAATATAAATACAATTAAGTATTGAAGTTAAATATTTTTGTCAGATGTAAATTATTATATGGTAATATTACATCATAATATTTAACAAATCTGATATTATTGAACTTTTTATTTCAATTGTTTTTTAAATCAAATCATTAAAATATGAATTGAAGTTTTTTTGGGACGGCAAATATGAATTTACAAAGGATTTCTTTATTGCATTTGCTAAATGATAAAATAGCGAAAAGCACTTTTAAAAAATCTGGCTTTTAAATATTATTGAGTATTTTTCATAAAATAAGTTAACAGCACTAAAAATTTTACAAGTAATAAAATACAATAAAAAATTTAATGCAACTAGTGGACGGTCCCTTAGGTAAAAAAAAAAAATCCTAAGATTGATAAATCTCAATTAATTCTTGTCTTTATTAATTTTAATGTACAAAAGAAAGATGTAAATTTTGAGGTGATAAAGCTTTGTGATTGTTGACTGCCCTGGGCCTACATAAAAATACATAATTAGAGAATGATCCGCATGTACTGATCTATACATAGAATAGGGGCATTAGCTTACCTGTTACAAAGACAACGGTACCAGTAATGAAATTAACAAGAGAAATAAAGTTTTATTTTGCTAATAGGAAAAAGCATTTAGCAAAGTTTAGTTGGTCCCGATGACCAGAATAAATTCGAGACATTTTTCGGTTCGATTCCAAAGGGCAGAAAATGAAGCCTGAAATCGAGAATCTCTTGCAAAATGCAGCCAGAGTAGCACACGAGAGTTCAAAAATCGTTACAACCTTATCCAGCTGAATGTAAGCACATTCGAATCCGCAAGTATTTCATGAAGCCTACGGATTAGGATTTTTAAGGCTTAATCTATGTAGGAGGAGGACAAAAATTGCAAAATATTACCCTAATTTGAAATTATATTGTTAAAAATTATATCATAATTTGCCCGTATAATTTATGACCTTAATGTTTTTCTCGATCATTCTTAAGTTAAAAAAAAATAAATATAAAAACAATTTGTGATTCTAATTTCATAATTTTATCGGAAATTTTTTCAATTCGCTTTAGTTTCAGAGATGTTCACGGCTGTGGAGGAATTCACTATATACATTAATAAAATGCAAACTAATTTTCAAAGACTTGACGTGATCATGATAAAACAACTAGTTTCTGACGATTCCGAGAGATTTTTCGGTTCGATTTCAGAGAGTGGAAAATGAACCCTGAAATTGAGAATATCTTGCTCATGCAGCAGAGTTGCACATGGGAGTGCTAGAATCTCACCGAACTCAGCTCAGTAGACGCACATGTGGACTCGCAAGTATTTCATCTAATATGTAAAATGATTGGCGCTTTGATAAGGTATGAACCGACGCTAGGCCGAAATGAATTGTGGTTGAATGAATTGCGAAAACTTTGAATAGTACAATGTGAAAAGCACGCTTTTGCATAAAATGTGGCGACATGGTAAAAATCTCATTTTCGAAAAGGGAAAATTAAGCACTTTTTAAAAACACCAAATGAAAAAAGCACCTTTAAGGGCTTTTAATAAACGAAAATTTGAAATAAGCACCTTTAAGCACTTTTTAAAAATGCTACGAACCATGTTTAAAGAGGGACTGCTTTATGTCTGATTTTTCATAATTTAAAATATAGACTGCACTAATTAATTGCATATTCAATGTCAACTCAGCTTTATTTCTCATCATATTACATGATAATTCGATATAAATAAAAAAAACTATTTAGTTCAGAGATCAAAAAATTCAAGTTGCTGTCTTATTATTTTGAAAATTAATAAATTTAAGGGAAAAGTTTCAATTATAAATGTACCATTGTTTACAAGAAGACATTAATTTGATGAAAGTTGTTTGACTGATTTACTTCGTTTTTAGAAAGTTAACCTTTTTTTAGCTACTAACTGCACAACTTTTCGCTTCATTTTTTTTTCTTTTTACTGTGCCGCAGCATCTTACAGTTAAAAAAAATCAACACCAAATAAAATTCATTAAACAAATAAAGTTCACTTTTAATGACTCAGCAATAATTTATTTACATCTCTTGAAATATACATATGTACTATCACGATTTTTATCCGTAAAGCTCTTGATATAGGCTAATTTACATCTTAACATAACTTTTTCATTTGACAAACTAAGAGTTTTAATAATTAACATTTAGAATTCTTATTCAGAAAGCAGACAGGAAGAGATAAATAAATCAAATCCAATAGACATATTACACATTATACAGGAGACAATAGCAGATTTTAAAAATTAAATGTACAAACTTTAATGACTTTTCAAGAAAACTTAGAAATGTATGGATAAGAAATATTTCAATGACGTTTAGTTTTAACGTCGTATAATTTTCCCTCTAGAAATATAAAGGTAACTAATACTGACATCTTAGTGTGTACAAAACATGAATGAATTGAACAAAAAATGCACAAAAAATTATGCTATCTACCTTATGAACTATAAGACAGAATGAGTGATTATTATTTACAAAAATAATTTACACAATCTACATGAAAAAACACTTAGCAATACAAATGTTGCAACTCATAAAAATATTCTGCTTTCTCAGAAATTGCAATATGATATTGATTAACGAGAATTAATAGATTCAAGAACTGTTCTATCTCAATCTATTAAAATAACCATAACAAAATTTACTTATATCCTTAAATAAAATTAAGTATTTAGTACAATTTTTTTAATAAGTTCAACTTTTAAGTTGGTATTTATCTGCTTCAATTTAATCAACAACTAACACAAAGAAGAAAAAAAATCCAGTATGAAATTGCATGACAATTATTGCACAACCATATTCTGTAACAGATATTGCATACGTAGGAAATTTTAAGAGATTACAGTAATGTAATTATATGACACTTATAAATGCAATAAAATATTGACTGAACTATTTATATTTGCGATTAAATTTAAAACTAATTTTTATCAGCAGTTATATATTTTTTAAGTAGCTTAATAGTTCTAACATATTTCTCATTAAAAAAATTTCATAATTACAAGCAATAAATATTTATGTGTTAATTTAAAATAAAAAAAAATTAATAAAAAGTTTTACAAATTCTGGAAATGTAAAAAAAAAAGTTTTAAACTGACCATAATTTTAAAAAGTAAAATTTTTTTATTTCTGTTTTAATCATTATTTGGTTCACACATTACTTATATCAATTATCTCAAGCAATCAATTGATAAGGGGAAAAAACGATACATTTATTTTCTTCTACAAACTTACCGATTTTAGGAAATTTTCTAGATTAGAATTTTTGATTCCAATCTACGGGAAAATCCAGTAGACTGGGCAAATATGACTGAAAGGGGTATTTCACGAAAACATAAAAAACACTGCAACTGTAAGTTGCAACACAAAAAGAACATAACTTTAGAGAAATGGTGCGTACAAAATAGTCCACATAGGTATCTTTACGTAACAAATGGTATCACACTTTTTACATGAAACTTCTTTTGATTGATCGGCAGACTTCAAAGATCAACTTAACTTTCATTCTTTCTATATCACAGTTCACGGTTTCGGAATTCAGGCATTTCATTGTATATTTACAAGGATTTACCAAGGACTGATAAGTTTTGCTAAATTAAATTAAAAGAATAACTCATGTTCAAATAAATACACCATAATATGTAAATTAAGTCTTTCTTCTCAGAAAAAGAAAGTGTTAGAGTATAGAATAGGATAAATGATAGGCTCTTGGATTGGGCACTGTATATAAAACCTTTTACTGTATATATTTTCCATGTGTTCTGCAAGATCATAAAAACAATTGCCGAAATAAGAGGAATCACTCCATTGTAAATTTTTATCGAAAGCATTAATATGATTTAAAATGTCATTTGCAATTTCTTTTTCGAATAAGAAGATAGAACACTGACAATTACGAAATTGCATCTACTCCCGACAGGTATAGGGATTTTTTACAATAGATTTAAACTTTATTTAAAGCCTAAAGGTATTAAAAAACAATTAAAACAATTAGCTAAGAACTTTTTAAAAACTTTAAGAGTGTTTCTTAAAGAAAAAGAACAATTACAGTTTGAGTGTCTTAAACTGCTTTAATATTACACCATAGAATACTGTCTTGCTAAGCAAAATTGTATTATATGGTCGAACATTAAAGCTTCCATAAAGGACAAATATTTTAAATATTTAAAAAATCGCCAATTTGGCAAGACTTTTCCACTATTAAAATCGATGAATAATTTTCAAATAATTCAAAATATTGATCTCAAACGCTTTTCATCTGCAGAAAACTGTGACTTTTTTTCCATATATTTTGTCCAATTTTCATAAATTCACAACTTTACCTAACAGTGAAGAATAACTCTAAGAAACTAAAAGAAAAAAAGAATATTATTTGCTAAAAAGTGCTATTTTATAACACGACAGAGCCTTTGAAAAACAGCCTTAGCTTTAGTATAATCGAATAAGCCAAATCACCTCGAATAATGGAATTTTTACAACTGTCTTTGGTAAATCTTTGCGATATCAATGAAAAACTTTTTGGAAAAACGACATATAATACGTTAGTAACATACAATTTGGCTTCAAATTCTCTGTGCTCAGATACGATTGAGAATTAATCAAGTTGGCACTGATTGGTTTGTGTCGATATTGCTTTTCGTCTTATTTCCTTCCAATGTGAGAGTCTCGGGGCACAATGAACAAATGGCTGCCCGAGCCTCCAGCGTCCAAGGAACAGGAATTCTCCCATGCCTGATTTTGTCCCACATTTCAAGGGCCTGTACAAAGTCACATATTTTGCTTTGGCCCAAGATTTATTGCGTGTGTGTCTTTTGATGTTGGTGGCACGTACTGACAGAACTGATGTTTGGGTGGATGAGTTGTGTGATAAAGTGGACACAGTGCCTTGAACAACTGGAATAAGAAAAATAACATTTTTAAAAAGTTTGAAATTAAAAATAAGAACTACATGATAAAAATGTTTAATACAATTAAGGGATAGTATCAAAGATAAGAAGGGGGGAATTCTTAAACTTTAACAGGGTGCGTAGACAATTCTTTCAATAAAAAATAAGCACAGGGCGCGTAGCCAAATTATTCAACAAAAAATAAGCACCTTTTAAGCACTCAAAAAAATTTTAAGCACTTTATTGGCATTATTTTTGACAATTGTTAAAAATCATGAAATATTAAATAATGTAAAACGAATGGCGTTTTCATACGCTACGGACTGACAATACGCTGAAATAGATTGGGGTTGAATTAATTGTGAAAACGTTGAATAGAACAATGTGAACTGTGTCTTTTTGCATAATTCGTAGCGAAAATCGACATGGTAAAAGAAAAAATCCAATTTTGAAAAAGGGAAAATTAAATTAAACACTTTTTAAAAACACCCAAAGAAAAAAGCACCTTTAAGGTCTTTTAAAAAACGAAAATAAGCACCTTTAAGCACTTTTTAAAAACACTACGCACTAAACACCTACACACAAAGCATTTTTAAGCACTATATACATTAACAAAATGCAAAATGATTTTCGAAGACTTTACATGATCATGATAAAATAACTAATTTCTGACAAATAACTCTTTTCTTGATTATATTAGCCATTATGAAATAAAAAGTGGAACAGGATATGCAATTTTTTTAAAGGTTGTTCTTTTCATAATTTGTTTAATATTATTAGAAAAAAAATTCGTTTAAAAAATGCCATTTTCTACTTCGTTTGAAATAATTTCATAAAGGAAACCGAAAGATTTTACAAGTTATGAATTTCAGGTTTGACCTTAATATAATCAGAGATTTTAACTCTCATCTTTGGAAGAAATATTAATTTGTGGAACCCCCTCAGAGACCTAGGAATAGGAGCTCTTGTATAGAGACCTGTTCCGCGGAACATCATTTGGGAACCGCTGCCCAATAGTATAATTAAACAAAACGCAATTTTAGGGATTTACAGTGTAAATTTGAATAGAGATTAAATTATTTTATTAGACATAGATTAGAATTGATTAAATTATTTACTGTTTCAGGTAACTTATTCTTTTATTTAAATACTTTTGAACATTGTTAACAGAGGGAAACATAATGCAAATTCAAATTAATGTTTTATTTTTTGTTCCAAATCAAGTGCACTGCAGTTTTAAGGGCAAGAAACATTACAATTGCCGCTGATATTCTTATAATTAGTAATTGGAATAATTTATTAAGAAAAACTTTTAAAAATTCTTCTCGATTTTGAAAATATTTTTAATGAAAATTATAATTTAAAACTCACCGAAATCACTCGAACAATAAGCTCTGAGAATTTCTTCATCTGAACATGGTCGACATTCTGAAAGGAAAAGAAAAAACACTTCTGTAAGTCAAAATAATAGTTTTTATTGCAGTAGGGAAAACTGGTAAAGATGTTGAACCAAATTTTATAAGTAGACTAAGAAGGAAGAAAAAAATATTTTATTTTTGTGAAGCCTAAAACGTTGAGCGTATCACTTTCGAATGAGGGATTTTTGATGGCGATGTGTTATGAAAGTACTGCACTCGCAACGCAACGTTTTTCATTTTAGGCCTGACCAAAATATAATTATTTTCTTCTTTTCAGTCTTATTGAAAATTAGTTTTTAAAATTATTTCACCACATATTTTTCTTTTTACTTTTTTTCTGTCTTTTATGCACTAGTTTGTGTTTTGTGCTTTTGTTTAGGTCGGAAAGTAGTCGAAATTTGGACTGCTAAATTTCATTCTCACAGATTCGAAAGTAAGTTTATAAAAATGTGAAGTAAATAAAATTATTTCACAATCAAAGAGAGTGAATTATACATGTCATCAAAAATTCCAAGTTTTAGCAAAGTCAAATATTTCCACAATATATGTATAATATGTTTTGTATATTATAATTTTGTACATATATATACTTTGTACACAAATAGTAAATGTTATGCAATCAATTCAGAAAATTAATTATAATAATAAAAAAGCTGTCTGAAAATTTATTGCCTTATTTGAAAAAAAAAAAAAAGCCTAAATCAACTTAAAACGTAAGAACTAATACTCAGCACAACAACAACAAAAAAAAAAAAAAAAAAAAAAAAAAAAAAAAAAAAAAATAAAAAAAAAAATCAGATTTTTTATTTTCACTCTAACATCAGGATGAATCTTTATCAAGAAGATTTCAATTTTCGAAATCTACCAATTGCATAAAGAAAACATTTATATTTCACGTCCAGGCAGAGAGAATTAAGAGTTAACTCTAAAACAGTGTTTCCCAAAGTGTGGTATGCGTACCCCCAGGGGTACGGGAACAGTTTAGCTGGGGTACGCGTTCCTCTGCGAAACATCTTGCAACAAACGAAAATTTGACAAAATTTTATTTAAAAACAAAGCTAGCCATGAAAATTTAAGATTACGTATTTTTCTATTGGCTATTTTTTGCAGAGTTAACAGTAAATAATTAGGGGTATCAACAGCCAGTTGTGATTTTTAACTTTCGGGCAATTTTTTTACAGTAAAAAATACATTCATTTTGTATTAGTGGTACACAGCGTTACGAAAAATTTAGAAAGGGTACACAAAAGTAATAAGTTTGGGAACCACTGCTCTAAAACATCTGTTTCGTTCCACATTCCTATCCTTATATATTTTACCAACAGATAAAAATCTCGCCTTATCTGTAAGAATTCTTCATCTCATCATTGCACTTTACTTGCTGCTGATGAAAGACTATCTTGAACTAACTCCTCTCTTCATAAGTCCCCCAAACTTCACCCCACATTTGCCGCGGTATTCGTTCACGTAATCCCGTAGAATGGGGAAGAAAGTGCACACAACCTGCGCACCCACCATCCGTGACAAGAGAATTTAATGTTTGCTAGATGTGCCAATGACAAGTCTGTCACAGCTGCGTACCACATGCGTTATTTTTTCGCAAGGGAAATAAGAAACCTGGATTGAGACCTTCGGCCTCTTAAAGAATGCATTCCACTTCTCCAAATCAACACTCCCACAACAAAACAAGTCACATGCTAGTGTTGATTTGATGTAATTTGCAAACAACAGGCATTAGTTTACTATAGCTGACTTTAAAGTACCGTTACAGTTCGTTATAACCACAATTTACGTTGATAGATGGAGTTGTGGCTATTAACAAATAAAAAGGACTTGACAGCAATAATTTTTGACTATATTACTTTCAATGGTAAGCTGTAAATACGGGAAATATAGGGGCATTGTAGATATGCAGCAGGATTCATAAAAGTAGCAACTTTTTTCTTTAATTAGGAGGAAGATAACTTGACCAGTGGTCACTCATAGGTTTGCTTTACTCAGGGTCAAGGTAGTGATATGTTCGTTTTTCTCTTTTCTGTATTGATACCAGATAAAAATAATGTATTTCATTTTGCCCTTTTTTGTAAAATATTACTGAGTTAAATAGCAGAAAAATGTATTTCTGTTTTAAAATGTGAAGCAGAAGTGAAAATTTATCAAATTTTAACTCGTTATTTTTAATATTAGTATTTTGACATTGACCCGGAAATTCGTAATAGCGTACTTATAATATGCCGTACTCGTAACTTATTCTGCTTAAAAATAAAAATTTGCATTTTAATTTTTTTAAGTTCGAGGACAAAATTATTTTTATGAACAGGATCCGGTATTTAAAATTCCAGGAAAAAGTCTTGATCAGGATGCCGCATCAAGTATTGGATTAAAGTTCTTTGAAGTTTTCACGTTTTCCAATTATATGGTAAAATTTAAAAAATTAACAATATTTTCTTTAATTTATTTGTTAGCAAAATATAAACCGAGTAAAATTTACCACATAAACATAAACTTAACTTCAAGAGTAAACGTTTTTTTTTTTCAACAAAATTTACACTTTTTTTTACATTCTCCCTTCAGAAGAAAATTTAAAATACTAACTTAAAATTTACATTAAAAAATGTTATTGGGGTTAACATATTTATCAAAAAATAAATAAGAAAGATATGATGAATACTAAAGGGAAGTTGTAGATAATTTTATTTTATTTCACAAGCACTTGCATACGACACTGAAATAAAAGTTTTTCCGACATTAAATAATTTACTGATATTAAAATTGCAGTTTAAAAAACTTCTACTATTTTTTCGAAAACTTAAAATTTCGTCGACTTAGAAATAACACATTTTTCAGGTTTCTAGACACTTTTCTGACACACTATTGTGTTATATCTATGAAAACAGGATTACCACTACTTGAAATTGTTCTGAAAGCTTTTATATACCAAAATTGAAAGCACATTTTGAAATTACATGATCAAAGCTTTAAGAAATGATGCTAGTTATGCATAAGTTTGTCCAAACTGTGGGAAAAAGAAAAAGTTTAAAGTTTGGTAACTTACTAAATAACAATGATTGTGAAAATGGCTGAAATTTCGAAGATAGTTCTATTTTTGTTTTAAAAAAAATAAAAAATGTAAGAAGTTCGGTAGGTTTGAAGATTACATTTTAAAAATTGCTGTTATTCAGAAAAATCTAATTTCTTTTACTTACAAAAATGGTAGGAATTTTGTATAAATTTAACAAAACCATTTCTAAAAGCTTTGATCAAGAAATGTACAAACAATTTTTAAAGATAAAAACTTCCAGGGTATTTGCATTGAGTGAATATCATGTTCCCAAACAGCGTTAGAAAATTTGACATTTATTAAACCATAATATCTTTCAAATTTAATGCTTCATGGCGCTAAATTGGAACAATATTACCATACTTTTTAAACTTGATTAGATGATAGTATGGTTCAACTTGAACGATAAATCATTCAATCTGACACCTGGTGCTAAGTTGGAACAATGCTATAGTACATCCTAAACTTGATTAAACGATACTATGGTTCAACTTGACCTAAAAATCGTTCAATTTAACACCTGGTGCTAAGTTGGAACAATGTTATAGTACTTCTTAAACTTGATTAAACTATACTATGATTTCATTTAAACGAAAAATCATTCAATTAAACAATTGGTGCCATGTTGGAATAATGTTATTGTACTTTTTAAACTTGATTTGACGGTACTAGGGTTCTACTTGAACGAAAAATCGTTCATCTAGCACCTAGTGCTAAGTTTGAACAAAATTATCGTACTTCTTTAACTTGATTAGACGATACTATGTGGACCAACTTAAACGAAAAATCGTTCAATTTAACTACGATGCTATGTTGGAACAATGTTATTGTACTTCCTAAACTTGATTAGATAATACTATGGTTCTACTTGAACGAAAAATCGTTTATCACTACGTAATCGTTATGCCCCGTAAGTTAACAGAAATGTACATTATGGTTCAGCAATTTTTTTCTGAGTTTATGTGATGTAATGTGTAATGTTCAGAATAAAAAAGAGAGAAAGAACATTAAAAGTCACATTGATTTTCCACTCTTGGAAGAATTACTTTAATATATTTATAGTTCATTAGTTTCAATGTACTGCCAAAATATAACTGAAAAGGCACATAACGGTTATTTATATTTATATTGGCAACAGTGTTAATAATAAAAAGAACAAGAGAGAGAAGAAGAACAAAATCGATGCATGTGTTCGATTTGAAGTACCCACAGCATGAGATCTCTTTAGTGAAGAAGGCTCTTGGATTTTGGAGGTGTGTCACACTTCTTATATAGCTGTTGCTAATTTTATTTTTTCTTTTATGAGTAAGGGAAAATATTCTTATCTGATGGAGACCCTGGCCTTTACTCGACCCCGAAGACGTGTGTGGAATATTAATGAAACCCTGAAGAGATTCGAAATGGAAAGAATCGGGAAGTGATCGAATTTATGCCGGCCAAAAATGCACCATACAATACAGTTCCATTAAAAAGGAATTAAAGAGCTAAATAATGACAGAAATTGTCTCCGCTATTATAAAAGTTTGCCCCTAATCAGTCAGCTACTAGACGATAGTCATGTTTAAACAAATCTCAAGCAGGAAAACCAAAAATAATAAGAAGATTTTTAATTTCAATACAGGCCGATGTTCCTATTTTAAAAAGCGTTTTGAGCGTTTATTTTTCTACTTTTAACTATTTTGCCATTTTTAAAAACAGATGACAACCACCCTACATTATTTCCGCAGAAAAAGAAGAAAAAAGACTCATCTTATTCTTTTAAAACGAATTTTAAGCTTGATATTCTACAATAAAACATCTGCGATATATAAACCGAAACCTCCTTTTATAGTTCATTATGTAAAATAGAAGTCTATACTTATCGGGAGGGCCACAATCTTATGACCATCAACTCAATCATATGTTGGCTTAAAAAGAATAATATCAAATGGTCTTAAAAATTAAAAGTA